TTGCAAAGTCATTTGCTACTGCACAATGGAATCTTGAATTAGAGGTATGATACACAGAAGATGACTAACAATACATGAAGTTTCAATATATCTTGGTTTAACTCCTTTGCACCCCATATGTCATTGACACTTAATTTTCTACCTTTGTGGTGTGTAATCTTATATGGTTTTTTTCTACTTTACATACATGGAAGTATGAAACTAATCTTATCTTTTTCACTCTCTCTTTGGTGGTTGGGGGGTGGGGGCTTTGTGGGTAGCTTTGTTTACATATAACTCTGTTTGGGCTATAGAGATTTCTTTTCCCCCATTTTATCCTAGCCTACATATACTATTTTATTGATTTATGTTAGGTTGTTTTACCTTTGGCACTTAGGTTAATCGAGTTGCAGAACTTCGTCAACAGATTGAACTGAAAGAAGCAATTCAAGAAGGTATAGCCTTTGAGGTTCTCTTTGAACGTTGCATAATGAGAATTCTTGTAAAAGTTCTTCATATCCAATATGATTTTCATGTCAACTTGTGGAATTTCAACCTTGGCCTCTTGGGTGATTGAAGTTCGAGAGGTCAAATAATATCTATAAACGGTTCTTATTATTACAAGAGAGTGTTTTGAGCTTAAGTTGTTATGCATTACTTTTACTGGTATCTGCTAATTGCTAACAAGAATGTATCTATGTCGGACTAAATGTGTGGTATGACTGTTTCAAGATGAGTCAAGTAGGAAATTAGAATCTGTAAGAAATGAACTAAACCTATTACGAATTTACAATTGTAGATCTAAGAAGGAAGATTTCTCAAACTAAGGAAAGTGGAAAAAGAGTAAGTAACGTCTTTATGTCTATGCCTCCAAGTATTAAATAAACCAATTTTGTAATGTGAAATGTGAATTAACTGTACTTTTCTGACAATGCAAACAATTTGCAGTTGGTGTCTTCAAAAGGAGATGAATTTGAAAAGGAGATACTTGAAGAAGAGTACTCTTTCCTAGCAGATAAAGTGGCAGCATTGCAAGAAAAGGTTCACTATCTTTTCCTGAAAAGTGTAACCTTATAAACTGAATGAATTGTTTTTTAGGTACACAACCCCCTGATAGAGAAGAACTTTTGTTCAAATCCTTCATAACTGGTGCCAACTCACTCTTTTTTATGAAATAACCGTGTTCAAAACAAGTGTGTATAGCTTTGATGGACAAGTATGATATAGTATAGCTTTGAAAAATGGGTCCGTTGGCTAATTAAAAAAAGTATAGCTTTGAATTGTGTGTATCCTACTGGAACTGATTTAAGTGAGTGTGCATGACCAAAAATTCAATACCATTTACCAAACATCTCTACATTGACAACATATAATGTCATAAATTATGGAACATACTTTTTCCACATTGCAACTGAACATTTTGTAAGCAATTTGTATTATTACAGTAAAAACAAATGGAGCTTGTAAGCTTTTATACTTGATCCAATACAGGCAAGGACACTAGAAACAAGCATTGGTACTACTAAGAGAGAACTGGAGAGTCCTACCGATGTGGAAGTTGAGCTAAAGCGTAGGCTTGATCAGTTGACTGACCATTTGATTCAGAAACAGACTCAGGTTTGATGGAACCATATGTTCTGAAACTGTCATGGAATGGCAGATTTCAATCATATGACTGCATTATATATAGCATGTTATTCTGTAGGATGGTGGAAGGAGAAGGCTCCTCAAGTGCTTTTATCAGAGCAGTTAAAATGATCTTAGTAGCCATTAGTCCATTACAATATTAAAGGCAGAAAGTGGATGCTCATTGAGTAAAATCCTTAACCGCTGGATTATCCACCTCCATGATTGAAGTGTTTGCTCAAAAGAAATTTCCTCAGCTTGATAATATAGTTCCTTTCAAGGATTGTGCTTGAGAATTACTCTGAACATTCCAAAATTATTGCCCACTTTGACTGGGCACATGGATTTGAATAAGTAAAAATTGAAGGAGGGTCCAATCCTCTGACACTTATCAAATTCGCGTCAAGTCTAACACCAAACACGGTCCAATAGTATTGGTAATATGGCCATAAAGCTAAAGGGCATACAGGAAAAAAATCAAGGTTAAATGGGATCCACCTAAAGGTAAAACTTAGGGAACAAGTAGGGGTATGAGATGAATTGCGTGAGAAAAGTGGAGATGATCACTCATTTGTCATCTTATGCTATGAGTGTCAGTGAGTGCAAGTGTGGCTCTAAACAGTCCATTGGTCAAAGTCTGCCCTTCCAACAGATCTATGTACCTATTCACATGCAAGTACAAGTTCATTCTTGAAACTCATCAATAATTGAAAAGGAAAGCACAAAGAACCCATAAACACAAATTTTAACTCACTACAAAGAAAGCATGTGGCCCAAAAAACGCTCCCCCACACTCAGAGTGAAACATCATCCTCGATGTATATCTCAAAAACTAAAAGAGAAAGGGCGGAGGAAGAGAACAACACACAAGTACAAGGCACAAAACTACCAAGTTTTTGAGAGAAAATGAGCAATAATTTTGGGTTGGATGAAATGGAAAGTGGAAGATAATTAGAGAGTATCAGTTCAAACCTTTGGAAAGAGTAGTCTTGTATATCTACTTTGAGTTTGATGCTTCTTTAATTTTTCGTAGATGTGAGAAATGCTAAACTGACAAATTGGATTGAATGTGTCACTTGTTCATTTAGGTTGAGGCTCTCTCTTCCCAGAAAGCCACACTGTTGTTTAAAATCGAGGCAAGTAATTATTGTCAAGTACAATTTTCAACTGCCATGAATTTTCAGACTAACTTTTTGGACTTGGTGTCTTCTTCCTAGGCTGTAACAAGATCATTGGATGAAAACAAACAAATCTCAAGTACCTCATCAGCCAGTGATTTGGAGTTGGGGGAACGGAGCCTAGGGAATTCAAAACTGAAGTCGTCCTCATTTGAGGAAAGGTTTCGGTCAGGTCAGCGACATTTATGGTCGTTGGTTTGGCAGTTAGATTACATCTTCTCTGCAGGAGCTTTGTTCCTTCGAAGAAACTCGAAAGCAAGGATATGGTCACTTGTTTACCTTGTATGTCTTCACCTCTGGGTTGTATATATTCTAAGATCTAATCCTTCAGTGTCTGAAGACTCTACTGGTGCTGCATTTTCCTTGGAGAATATCAACAACACTGCACGAATCTGATCTGCTGTTTATTTATGCGAGTCTAAGCTCATTTTGATAGGAGTTTTGTTACTGGCAAGTTGCTTCTGCTGTTGTAATACACAAAAATTATTATAGGTAAAAGCATGCAAGAGGTTATAGGTAAAAGTGTGCAAGAGGTCCTGTTATATTTTGCTTTTGTTCAATGCAGTCCAATTTCATTCATTCCGTCCCTATTTGGACAGTGGCATGGTCTCATGATCTATACCAATTCTAATATAGTACTGGACTGCCCCTTCCAGCAGCATCAGACATCAGTTCATCCATGGGTACTGGACAACCCCTGTCATTGGCTTACAACAATACCCCAACCTTTGTCCCAAAAACGTTTGGGTTGCTTATCTGAATCGATGTATGAAATCGGAGATAAAAACGATAAATACCGGAGTGAGGGTGGGGAGTGTTGAGTGGTAGGGTGGGAGACACGTCGCAACACTAAAATTATCATGTTATTACTAAAAGAGATTGTGATTAAAAAACTGTTGATAAAAGAGAAAATGACTAATTACAATCATATCTTGACTCTTGGTATAAATTACCCTACTACCCCCATGAAAATAAAGATTTTACATATCTCACGTATTTGTTACTCTCCTGTAGGGGTGGACTCGGGCCGGGCCAACCGGTCCGGAACCGGACCGGCCTGCTACTGTGCGGGCCCGGCCCGGTCCGGTGAACCGGTTCCAGGTCCGGTGGGATGGCGGTTTGGGTTGGGCTGGGTATTTTGGGCCATTTGAGGTGGTTAGGGTTGGTTTGGGGGTGAGGGGGAGGGTTGGGGGTTAACTATAAAAAGCCAAAAAAAAAAAAAAAAAAATAGAACCGAGGCCCGGCCCGGACCCGGGGGTTACCCGGCCCGGTTCCGGGCCTCCCCTTCTTGAACCGAGGCCCGGCCAGGCCCGGGCCCGAACCGGAACCGGTCCATGCCTACTCTCCGGGCGTTATCCTCTAGGACCTCTACACATTCCCATAAATGTTCCCTCAAGTATAAAAGGGGCCATGCTTCTATAGTTTAAAGCATCCCTGTGATTGGTTTGGTCAGTTAGTATGATTGGTTGGTCCCAACTCCTAAATGATCGTTATATCAATCTGACTTTTTTTGGTTCCTTGAAAAACTCGGTAAATTTAAGAAAAACTGATAGGAATAATACTATCAGTTTTTGGTTAAGAGATTATTGCAACTACGGATGTGCCTTATACATAACTGATTCATGCATCAAATGGACTTCCTAGTGAAGTCTTGAAAGTAAAACTCCATTTACTTGCAGAAAAATAAGTTCTTGTGGAACATGTTTTATATGAGTATAATTTTGAAAACTAGGATGCCCTGCATACTCCATTTCTCCTATAATATTTTTTTCTTTTACTTTTTACACTAGTTTAGGTAGTATAATTGTGCAGTTAACTCTTTTAGATGTGTATTACAAAAAATGCAGTCTTCTCAAGAGTAAATGAGATTTTTTTAGGATATGTAAAGCATTGTATCATCTTTAGAGAAATGATACACGGAGATGGAGTTTAAGAAATGAATGGAAGATGTATTTACACTGAAGACAACTTAGTAAAGTCAGTAAAATCATCCTCATTCCCAAGCAAATTCTCTAAACCTAAAAAACTAAAGACAAAAAAAACTGAGAAATGTTTTCTTCTCCAAACAGCCAAGCACATGAAAACAAAGCCTCAATACTTGGTTTAAATATGTTGGACTGAATTGGTATATGGTTGTGAACCCAACAAAAAATAGAAATGAGAGGTAGAAGTGTAGAACCTCAAAGAGATTAAGCAAAGTGAGATCTCCTAGATAGACCAAAAGTCAAATTATTCCAAATTATTCCGAGTAACTTTGGAATCAAGGCAGGCGAGAAGAAGCCTTGACCACAATGAGTAAAAAACAAGGTGGTAAAACATAAAACAAAAAACACCCACACAATCAACCAGACTGCAATTAAAGTTCAACTTACCACTCCAAGGTATAATACAAACCTACACAGCAGCATTGCCTAATTAAAATGATGTTCAATGCAAAGACTTCAAATTTACATTCTCCTACTATTATTAAAGACTAGTTGTACTTAGAAACACTTTTTCTGCACTAAATAAACAAAACAGTATTTTTCACTATGTTAAATAATAATAATAATAACCAACAGTTTTTTCTTCTTAAATGGTGGCTCGGATTCACATCACCTGCCCCCGAAGCTTTCAAGCTCCTGGAAGGCTGCCATTGCAATGGCTGGCATTGTTTCCCTGTTTAAGCATGGTTTTATAACGCTAGCAATCTCCGAGGCTCTTGTTTTCTGTCAAACGCATTAAAAACCCATAAATGAACACTAATTACCAAGCAATGCATTCCAACAAAGATTAAAGCAATTATATATGAATTTGACCCACCAAATTTTCATATTTAGCCTGAAGGTCCTGGAAAGCTTCCAGCTGTTGGGTATTCGGAGCCACAGATATGGTCAGTGCTGCATCCTGAAACCACCGGCAAGTATACAGGAAGCAGTTAAATAAGTAGAGTAGTTTGCAACCCCTTTGAAAACATGATACCAGAACTAAGAACCACTTTAATTGGAAAGAAAAGAATACCAGAACCACTAAACCAAATGGTCACTTCAAACCATGTCACACTACTCCATCAAGGAACTTGATATAAGATGTCTTTTCATCAATCCCCATAAAGTGTCACATTTGGTATAAAAAATAATAACTTCGACTTCACTTCTCTGGAAATAATGCTTTTAACTGTAGTTTTTCTGTTTTAAAGCTTCCATAAAAAGATTAGAATTTTAAAATGTATTGGAAACGAGTTTCTGATATTTTTATTGTTTTTGAAAACATGCTTCCATCTTGACACTTACTAAAACATTTTGAGCTATAATCAAGATTGTATATTTCATAATGAGCACTACCTCTGACGCATTCTATGTCTCCTTCTTCAGACTCAACTTAAAGTTAAATCACCTTTGTTTGACTCAACTTAAAGTTAAATCACCCCCCAATAAATCTGACTTTGTATTAATGTTAGAGTTCTATTGAACAGCACAAACCACATTTCTATATGCTAAAAATTTGATACATGACATCATCCAATGCCAAAATCTGATAAAGCCAAACTTTTGACTGTAGTATTTCTGTTTGCATTCTATTGAACAACAAAAACCGAATTTGTATATGCTAAAAATTTGATACAGGATATCAGCCAATGCCAAAATCTGATAAAGGCCAAAATCTTGTGAGATAGAGCTCTTACATAAAAAGTTCCATCCTCTCAAAATACGAAGTGATAACAAATTGACATGTAAATGCAGTTATAATTATTGTTTAAAAAAGCTTTCATCTCATTAAACTGAATTTACCTGGCCCAGTCCCTGCTTTATTGCAAAATTAGTTAATTACCATGTCTTAGCCATCAATTTTCCTGCTTATTCTACCTTAATGGGGGTACATTGTGCGAGGTAATTTGCCTAAAAATATTCCAGCACATCAGTTATAGGGAATCATTTTTACCTTTCTTGGGCGACCAGGTCGCTTCCCAGTGAGTTTCCTTGGTTTAATTATACCATGAACGCTAGAAGTCCTCAGCAACCCATTTGTAGCAACTCTAACAGGACAAGCAGTAGCCAGCTTAGGAGGACGGCCACGCCGTCTAGGAGCCACCAGAATTCCATTTGGAGCAATCCGAGCATCACCATCAATGATGGGCACATTGATAGCAACTCCAGATGCAGTAGGCCCCCGTCCAACCAGGACCTTTTTTGCAGGGCGGCCGCGTGGCCTCCCACCAAGCTTCATACCAGTCACCTTGGGTCTGCCTCTTGATTTTGCTATGCCAGTAGAAGCAAATCGCTTAGGTCGACCTCTAGGCCTACCAACTACACCACCTAGCCAGGGCATATTGCCACTCTTAGGAGGACGACCGGGCCTCCTTCTTCCGTTCTGGATCAACAGGGTTTCTGGTTTCAGAGAATCCACAGAGCTTGTCCCATCAGAATTCAACTTCTTTGGACGACCACGGCCCCTTTTAGGCAAAGAAACATTATCAGCAAGTGGAGGAAGAGGGATTGCAGATCCACCATCTAATCCAGGTGCAACAAGAACAGATTCAGTCTGGACATGCCTCTCAGGAGCTGAAAACTGCTGCAGAGCTTCCACTCCTTGCATAGCAGGAGAAACATTAGCAGCAACTTGAGGAAGAGATGTGGGAGGCCCTCCGTCTAATCCAGCTGGAACAAGAAAGGAATCCGTTGGAATATGCCCCTCCTGAGCTGACAGCTGCGCTAGGGTTTCATCTCCTAGCTTGCGTTTGGGAGGGCGGCCTGGCTTTCTTTTTAGGGTGGGAGTTAAATCAGGTGGAAGGGGGGTAAATCCAGGTAGCGAGTATGAGTGCTTGATCATGATCAGCTCGCCGCTGTTCTTCATGAGCTTGAGGTGACGATTCAACAAGGCCGGGTGGTCGGATGGAAGATTCGAGTTGGTTTGCTCGATGTACTTCGCTATTGCTCTGCTACTCGACCCGTCCGGCTCCTTTAGCGCCACTATGGCGGCGGATATCATCTGTTTCATGGACCCATAAACAGTGAACGACTATGGCAGCAAAGAAAATCAAAAAATGTACATCAAATGAAATTGAATTGAAATGTGGAAAAGTGAAACCCCCGATACCTGGGTATACAGTTCCTGGTGCGCAGTATCATCAGGTACGGGTGCAGCAGACGGTGGTTCTGGCGCCGGAATCGCGGCTGCAAGTGGTGGTGGATCCGCCATAGTTTGTTCAAGATCCATGAGCGAGTGATGTTATGACACAACTTCTTTCTCTGTGGGCGGATGATGTAGTGTAGGTGGATATAACCGATCTATCATGTTTGACTCAACAAAATTCAATGTCAAACGATGGTGACCCTACGATGACAAAAATTTAATTACTATTTGAATTACACGATCTATCACACAAATTGATTTTTTTAAGGAAAAATTGATCGTAATAATCTCAAATATTGGCGGTCCGCTTATAATAATTCTGATGGAGTATATGAGCCTGAATCCCAGGACCCACATACTCAGAAGAATAAGAGGCACAGCTGCCACCCAGTGGGGCCTCCTTCGGCCAGGTGGCGCCCATCGGCCAGAAAGATATCAACTCAGAACATGGTCCGGAAACCAGAAGAACCGGGTGCCCCCGTCGGCCGTGGCCGCGTTGGCCACATAAGGTTCCCAGAACCAGAATTTGTACTAAGTCATCTCTACACATCTTGTACTCAGCCCAATAATGGCCCAATTGTAAATAGGCCTCCCAAGCCCAAGACTTGGGAGTCCAGTCCTAATTTCCTCTATAAATATTCCCCTTGGGGGTAGTTGTAGGGGGTTCACAAATCATTAATACAAAGCATTTACTGCATTTCTCTCTCTAGTTCTCACTTCTCTCTAGAAACAATTACTCTATCATTTGGTGCTTTCATTGAGAGCTAGAACAATCAAGTTAGTCTCCTTCGTCGCTACCAAGCAGAGCTAACTGATAATGGGAAGAACTAAGTCCAACCGCAACCTCCTCGTCAAGGCCATCCCTGAGGCCCAAGAGAACCGGGAACATGAGGAGGACGCTACGGCCGACAAGGCTCCCGTCGAGGATGTCTTCCAGGAAGCCATCAGTCTCACCACTGACCTGCGCAACAAGCTCAACGGCGGCGCCCCAGATGCCCGCATCAGCTTGGACAAGAAGCGCGCAGAAAAGGGCGACAACATCTCTGGGCAACCGGCTTCTCCTGCCGTCGACCCTCAGCTCCAGGCCGCACTCTCGCCCATCATCGCCAGCCTGGCCCAGAACCCCACCGTCCTTAGCGCACTCATGCCAAGGACGAGGGAGAACACAACCCCGCCTCCTCAACCCCAGCCGTTGGCCGTCAGGCTAGACAACGACGAAGGGGTAGTACCCCAGGACACGACGTCATCCCACTCCCACCCTGCTTCCCCGCTTCGAGCTGGACCGACCCCAGCGTGTGGAAAAGCCTCGGCCTTTAACAGGCTAGGTGACATGTGATGTCGGCCTGCTTAAGAGAGGATGGCGGGGCGGATTGGTCAGCGTGAGCCTGGCTCACCCAGGGAAAGCTTGGGGTCGGTATCCCGAACAGCGGATCGGCCCCGCCTGGACAAAGGCAAGGGGAAACTGCATGAGGGTGATGCCCGTCACCAAATCAACACGGCTCACGCAGCCCGTTTGCAGACGCAGGGCGCCACCATGGCGGCCAAGGACCCCAGGGACGAGGTAATCGCCCAACTCGAGCGAAGGCTCGCTCAGATGGAGGCCAAACAGCTGGCCGCCACCCCCGCGGGCAACTCATCCAGGGATCTCGGCTTCAACGCCCTTCTAAACAAGGTCACCATCCTTGAGAGGGAGTTGGCCGAAGGACGAGGAGACCCCATCATCCAAGTCAGGACGAGGACTCCCTTCATTGCCAGGGTACTCTCGGCTCCCATCCCCGAGAAGTACCAGGGAAACGCCATCAAGCCCTATGACGGCCGCTCCGAACCCCAGGAGCACTTCAGCCGCTACCAGAATAATATGCTGATGGTGAACGCGTCACATGAATACCTCTGTCGTTGGTTCCTTTGTACTCTCGAAGGGCCAACGTACGAGTGGTTCAACGCACTTCCCGAAGGGAGCATAGACTCATGGCAAGACCTTGCCTAGCACTTCCTCACTCACTTTGCCGGAAGGAAGCGCGCGAAGAAGTATTTCAGCCATCTTCTCTCCGTCAAACAGCAGCATGACGAGTCACTTCGGTCATTCATCGACCGATGGACGAGGGAGACCGACGAGGTCGAGGGGGCCGATGAGCGCACCCTCCTTGTCCTGTTTCAGGGCGCCCTCCGCAGCACCCCATATGCGAGGAGTCTAATCACTGACCCACCAAGGTCGTACATGAAGGCGCTTCAGCGAGGAAACTTGTACGCTGACGAGCTCCACAGCCACAAGAAGGACGGAGGGCACCCCTCCAAGAAGACGAACGCCGCGCCGACCCCAGGCGCATCCTCAGCCAGGGACCGAGGTCAGGGAGGACAAGGCCGCCGTGGATCTGGCGGAAAGAACAAAGACCGCATATGGCGGCCGAGGATAGGGCTGTGCATTAACCGGGTCAGACCGTATTTTAGACTGGAACCGGACCGGAATGAACCGGACCAGACCGAACCGGTATTAACCGGTCCGGGTTTCAGTCCTTAGTTTTTCAAGATTCCGGGTTCCGGTCCGGTCCGGGTCAAACCCGGAAAAAACAGGTCCGGACCGGAATGGACCGGTAAACTATTGTTTCCGTAAAATATATACTTCGTTCTGTATCATTAGTCATTATGTTTATGACATTTTTTGTCTTTTATTATATAAAAGAATATATATGGAGTGTATATTTGGTGTCTAATTATTTCCTAAGTTGTTTTTGATTTGTTTATTTATGTGCAAGTGTGCACTACTATGATCGTAGTTTATACGATAGTATTTGTTTGATTTTTTCAAATTGCTTTTTTTTTTGTTTCTTTATTTGCATGTGTGCATGTAGTTTATACGTAGTATACTTTTGGACGTAATTTAATTTTTATTACTCTACAATACATTTTGCCATTTTAATATACACAAAAGATTGTAGTTTTAATTACCGTGGGAAACTAATTGTTACGATTGAATAGTTTTGATGACTATATTCCAAAATTAATAAATGAGCTAAGCAATTATTTAGCCTATTTAGCATATCCGCACATAAAATTATAGTTTGAAACAACAACATCCAAGCTTTATTCCTAAAATTTTTTTGGGTCGGTTAAGATCACTCTAAGATAATATGTCTTTTTCTAAAACCGTATCAATTAGGGTCAAAACCGGACCAGACCGGAAAATTCAGGTCCAGACTGGTCCAGACCGGTTTGATTCAGGTCCGGTCTTCGGTCCATAGAAAATGATGATTTCGGTTCCGGTCCGGTTTTGGACCGGTGCACACCCCTAGCCGAGGATGGAAAGGCCGAAGCCCCCACCCACTCATTCAGTCAGCATCATCCTCGATTACGCCGAGGAGCACGATCTCATTGAACGAGATCCTCGGTCGGCCAAGGAGATCTACGCCGTCCATCAGGGCGGCACCTACTGCCGTTATCACAGGAACACCTCCCATAACACAGACGAATGCGTCACGCTGAAGCGAGCCATCGAAAAGCTGATTCGCCAGGGGAACTCTCCCAATTTGTTAAAGGTGGCCCACGCAAAAATACGTGGGTAAACACCGGCAAACCTGGGGGCGAACCGTCTACGAAGAAGCGAGAGATCGACATGCTCAGCGATGACGAGGAAGACTTTGAAGAGCCCCATCCGAAGAAGAACCACATCAACCTCATCGTGGGGAGTAACACGGGGGGGGGGGGGGGGGGACTCAGCCACCCAGAGGAAGAAATGGGCCCAATCCCTTTACATTGGGGAAGTGTCCCACGCTCCCCCCCAGCCGAAGAAGCAACGGACGGAAGCGATCACCTTCACCGACAAGGATCTGCCTCCAGGACCCGCATCACAAAGGGATGCCCTCGTCATCCGGTGTGAGATAGGTGACTCTATCATCCACCGCACCTACATCGACACGGGGAGCTCCGTTAATGTCATGTACCTTGACACCTTCAGGCAGCTAAAGCTGGACAAAGCGCTGCTCAAGCCGATACGGACACCGTTGTCCGGCTTCACCGGGGACTCTATCGACGCCGAAGGCACGATAGTCCTCCCCGTGGAAGTCGGTGACGGCTCCCATCGCACCAAGATTGACATGGAGTTCATGGTGGTCAACCTCGAGTGCGCCCACAACTTGATATGAGGGCGGCCAACACTAGAGGATCTGGAGGCCATTATCTCCATGAAACATCTATGCCTGAAGTTCTCTACCAGCGGCGGTATCGGCTACGCCCGGGGGAACCAGAAGATAGCCCGAGCATGCTACCTAAAGCTTACGAAGCCGGCAGCTAGCGCCGGGTAGAGAATAGACACCATCACCGCCACCGTCACCAAGGACGAGGAGAGGCCACACGCCGAGCCAGCCGAAGAGGTCGAGGAGATCCCCCTGGACACCTCCCGGTCGGAGCGAGTCCTAAAAATCGGGAAACAACTCCCACAGGATCAACGCAATGGCATCCTCAACGTCCTGCGATCATATGCAGCCATTTTTGCGTGGGGCCCGGATGATATGTCTGGCATCAGCCGTAAGGTGATCACTCACCGACTCTCAGTCGACCCCGCCTCCATGCCGATCAAGCAGAAGCGGCGCTATCTCTCGGCCGACAGAAGGGACTTCGTCAACGGGGAAGTTATCATGCTCCTCTCAATCAACCACATCAAAGAGGTGAAGTACCCCACCTGGTTGGCCAACGTTGTTCTTGCCCAGAAGCCGTCGACGTTCAGAATGTGCTTTGATTACACTGACCTGAACAAGGCGTGCCCCATGGACCCATTCCCTCTCCCCAACATTGATCAATTGGTAGACGAGACGGCAGGGTGCGAGTTGATGTCGTTCCTTGACGCCTTCAGGGGGTACCACCAGATATTCATGCATGAAGCTGACGCCGAGAAGACGACCTTCATGACCCCGGAGGGAATTTTCTGCTACCTCGTCATGGCCTTTGGGCTCAAAAACTCAGACGCCACATATACCAGGATGGTGGCCAAGGTCTTCAGAGAAGTCCTCGGCCGAACGATGGAAGCATATGTTGACGACATGATCGTTAAGAGCAAGCAATATGCCACTCATGCTGACGACCTCCGAGAGATTTTTGAAATCATGAAGAAG